ATACCATCAGAGAAGATGCATTGTCTCTAATCTAGCTTGGTCGATTGTGACTTGAATACACCTTTGATTGACTAAAGCGTCCTGATGTCAGTTGATCAGTATAACGATCTCAGGATCATTATTGAAAATTAAGTTGTAGTGCAGCCACCGGTCAGCTTCGATTTGTTCATTGAAGAAGAGGTTTCAAATGTCAGTGCGGACACTCCGAAGTGAATTACAGATAGCCTCTGCTTCATGAACATGGCAATACTCTGCAAGTTTCGCGTAGTTGGAGGGGTAGCTCACACTTGCACAAAAATCTGAAGATATTCATATTACTAACAAACTTTCTTTCTTTGGATTTCTTTTTATATTCATTTATCTCGTCTATTTATGTGAGGTGGCTGGCTATTGCCAGTCCTCATTGGTATCTCATCCATCGCCTTCGAATGATGGGTTTGCATATCAAACGAAGCAAAATGCAACCGAAACTCCCCCACTCTATGAAACTCCTTTTGCAATGCATGCTTGTTTTTGGAATGTTCGCTCGCTTTTCAATGCTAAAACAGAGCCCACCCGTCCCCATGCCCCAAAGAAGATATGCCGCGCCCAGAACAATGCAAAAAGAGCAACTAGCAGAAATTACAAGGCTGAATGCCAACCTTCCTGCTCCAGAGCCCACTTAACCGCCTCATAGACATCCCCGACGATTGCCTTTGGCTTGTGGGCAGGAACTGTACCACTTCTATAGACACCGGTCTTGACCAGAACGGAGGTCCAGTCTGTGCCGTGAGATGATTCAAATTCGTTGGCACCACGAATATCCGATTCTGGATTGTCACCGACCATGAATACGCGCTTCAGGTGCGGAATCTTTCGCTTGGATTCGCCACTGCCACCGAGCATGTGTGTGCGATATTTATGGAGTACACGCTCAGCATACTTGTATGTCGCTGGATGTGGTTTACCAATGACAGTGCGTTCTAACTTTGCTCCACCGGTAGTAGCATTCCAAACGCCTTCGAGGGATGCCTGGAAACCACCTTGGCCAAGACGAGGCATGTGATGATTAGTTGCCCAGAAAAGATCTGGATTTGAGAAGAACAGCTTAGGTTGTTCATCTTGTTGCCAACCGTTGTTGGGTATTGAAGCGTCGCCGTTCTTGGAAGAATAAGTACCAAGAATGCCCTTTTCGGATAAGAGAAGATCAAGCACAACTTGAGTATCCAAGGCCCAGTCACGAGGATCGTTGAAGATCATAATCGCATCGAACTTGAGAGATTCGGAAAGGTTGTGTAGATCAACTGGTCTGGGAAGAGGGCGTGTAGCCTTGCTATAGTACTCGCTAAAGATTTGGTTGAAGGGCCAGATGGTAGGATAAGCCATAAGAATATCGCCAGGTGTGACGACCTTAGTGAAACCATACCTGTGTATCTAAGGTTAGCTTTGTCTCCTAGAGATGTTTGGTCTTTGTATCAGGTTCAATGTCTCAAACTCAGATAAATTCACAATGTGAGATTATCTTGTGAAACAAAACAGCCTACTGAGGAAGGAAAAAAAAAGAGGAACTAACATTTCTGCAACCTTGCGACATTTATCTCCATCTCCACCAGTGACAAGGACTGTCTTATCTTTAAGACTCTCAGTTGTATCTGACTCCTCAACAAGTTGTTTGAATGGTGTGTGTGATTGAACAAAGTTCTCTTCAGTAAGAGGAACATTGAGCTTTTTGCTCAACTCTGCGACACGAGCACTTTCATGTTTGCCTCCTCCATTGGTCAATAAGATGAAAGGGATGTTGTTTGAATGAAGTAAGTTCAAAGCTTCGGATGCTCCAGGGATTGGCGAAGAAGATCGAAGCAAGACACCATCAATGCTAAAAACCAGTCAGATTGGAAACCAATTGTATGATAAAGGTTAAAATACATACTCAAAAGCAAAAGCAAATCCTGGTAGGAGATTTGCAGTTACAGGAGTTGCAGTACTAGACCGACGTTGGTGAGCGATAGGAGCCATTGCAGCTTTTATCGACTGTTTTGGAGAGCAAGAATTTGCAGAAAAAGGGAAAGAAGTTGACAACAGTCGAGAAGAATATATAGATCTTTGTTGGGTATAAGCTGGCTTAGCAGGGTTCGAGATAAAGCTGGTTATCCTATTCACAGACTTCCCGCTTTTCACGCTTTTCAACATTAAGGTTATCGGATTCAACAACTGGTAGCGCCGGGAGTTCACGGAAACCTTGTGGGATACCTGGGCGATAAGGGACATTTTTAAGATTTGTATGTGGGTGCTACAATTCAACGAATCTTTGGATGGGAGTGAGGCACATGTGAAGGGTGCGAAGAGTGAAGGGTGAAGCGCGTATGAAGTGAATGAGTTGGAGTGTGGAGAGATATTTTTTGGTGTTTATCTTTATCTCTAAGTGGTCAAAGCTCCATTATCAGGGGTCCCCGCCGAGCATCCTTACCAATTCTTGAAATTCTAGCTAGTCTGCTCTCTTGGATGGAACGATTTGGTAAGTACATACGATTACTTGGCGAGCTTGGGTAGCTCGGTATGTACTCCATGTAAAGTATTGATCATTCCCGAGGTCGTTTCAAGAATGATAAGCAATACTGGAAAGAAAGGGGGTTTCTAATGTTTGGAACAAATAACACATTTGGAATTGGAACTAATGGTTATATTCAGAAGATAAACCGATTCGAAATACTCAACAGCTCCATGCAAAGAGGTCTCGACCAATCCTTGCGCCTACAAAAGCTATACTATCTACCTGGTAATCTAGCTGTTCAGCATAGCCGGTTAGGCCAAAAGTAAGACCAAGCTTCCCAACGTTACCCTTCCCTCGGATCTACTTCATTTACCCTATCTCTGGTAGGGTTGATGCTACTGTGTGACGCATACACAAGTAGGGCAGGTAGCTACCTCCCCAGTCACACATCGTCTGACATGCTGGTGCCAACACATATCATTTCAAGATCTCCAGATCCATCACATTTCCGAGGACGGCCCTTGAAGAAGACGGTTTAGGGGATCAAACTGGGGAAGATATGTACCCCAGCTCAAGGTTGGGATCCATGGATGAGAGGACCATCGAGGCATCTGATAAAAGGTTAAAGGGATCGGAATGAGCCGTACCATATCTCTGAGTCTGAGTCCATTATCTCACATATCTTTTGAGTTGGTTACTTGTTGGATACTGCATCTTCAGGATCCACTCCACTCCTTCATGAATCATGGCTGTGTATGCGAATGCGTATCTACAACATGAGGCTGAATCCCGCTTGATTCGAATAGATAACACTGACACTCGTCAATCTCTCCTTACCGAACATAACATTGGATATACTTCTAACACTTCACTGTTAAGGACCTTTTTTTTTGACGTACGCACTTGAAAAGGGAATTAGTTATCGTTTGAACAAAAGCACTCGCCTGAACTGTCGTGAAGCACATTCCCGCTTTCATGACTTTCATTACTTATGTAATCACAAAACCACTAAACGCGATAATTCGCGGTCGATCGCGCTTCCCAACCGGTTCATGAATGGATTCAGTTGAACAGAATACCAAATCCCTGGAAGCCGTTTTGCATGAGCCCCTCTTTCATTTCACAAATCCATTGCACAATTCCCAACCTCTCATTCTTGATCAATATCAAATCAATCGTCGTCATCATCTTATCAGTTGCTTTTGTGTTTATTTCATCAGCGTTCATCTCATTGTAAAAACATTCATCTAGCGGCCATCAATTCAATAATTGAGTTCGGATATATCTGTGCTTTGTCCTCAATTTTGATACCGAAACTCCTTTCGACTTATCACAACAAACTTAACAACATCTTACTATTTACCGGACCTCAACTTCATTAAACGGGGAAACATCCACCTAATACTCAACTTCTCATACCATACCATCTCATCCATCAATAATAATATCACCATGCCCGCCCGCCAAGCTAAACGCCCCTACGCCGGCTCTCAATCCCAGATAACCTCCTATTTCACTCCCGGCACTACATCTCTTCCTGCACCTCCTCCTCCTTCTCAATACCAACCACCTACTCTCCCAAATCCAATCCAATCCTCCCTCTTATCCGTCGGCATGCGCATTCGCAAATCCGTTCCCGAAGGATACAAAACCGGTTCCTATTCCGCCTTCAATCTATTCTCAGATACCACACCTGCCACCAAATCAAACTTCGCATCAGCACCCCCCTCTTCAACACCCACAGCGCCGAAATACAAAGGAACAAGACCTCGTGCTGAAATCAGGGAGTTGACGCCCTTCTGCGGGTTGATGAAGATTGGGGGAATGAGCGTACAAGGATACAATGAATCCGGAGAGGCAATTGAAGATGAAGATGAGGAGGACTACGAAGAAAGAATCTGGGATAGCAGTCAAGAGAGCATGCTGAGCAATGATAGCGTCGGAAGTTATGGGGGTGGCTATGGGGCCAAGAGGCGATTTGTTGACGAAGAAGAGGGAGAAAACGTATTTGGACAGGGTGGAAATGGGGAAAGAGCTTTGATGGATGTTGGAGATAGAAGAATTGCGATGCCAAGGTCCAGGAAGAGTGAGAAGGACAGAGGAAATGACATGACGAGGTTTGGTGGAGATGAGAATGCGGATGTGGATTTTGAAGAAGCGGACTTTTTGGATTATGATTTAGCAGACGAAGTTCAAATGGGCGGTGTCTAAGAGATGCCAAGAAATGATGTATTATCAGTGGCTTCGAGCAATCCTTGCATGTTATGGGAGGTGGGATCTGTATTATGGGTATCAATAGTTCGGAGTGAGCTGTGTGTCGATTGCATACATTTGGGACGGCGTTTCTGGGTGGATTATTTGAGCACGATTGTATGGCTTGGAGGCAGCAATATCTGGAAAGGCTGCTAGCATTCCATTGGTTTTTGTATATCATACAACACTTCCTGTATTCACATTTATTTCTACATAATTGATTATTGATCACATAACCTAATCGTCGGTTGTATGAAACGGGTGAATGTGATAATAAAAATTGGTATTATATTCAGCTCATGAGAAGTGAGCTGGCTCGCCTCATTTGCATCTAAAGAAATATTACTTGCCGCAAAACCTACTACAAAGATACTTACAGCCACGCATAACACTTCAGACTAAAGTGAAAAAATAATGCAAAGATTAAGCTCTACTTGTCTGCAACACCTATTGAAATGTTCTTGGCGCATTTCTGCTTAATAGTTTTTTGACTGCCAAATGACTCAAATGTTGTCATCAGGCCGCTCGAGAGAGTCCTACTCACCCCATACTTCCCTAAACTCCAGCAGATCTCTCTGTCCGTACATCTCACCTGCAATCGTGATAATCATGTCAATTGTCGCTCTAGTATTCCAATCAGATGGTTGCTCTGATGTTAGCGCTGACGCTTCAGTTGTGGAATTGGAGGGCTCTTCTGCTTCAAGCGGCTGAGGATCTGCGATTGCTGTGGGACCGGCAAGCGGATTTGAAGCGAGATTAGCGAGTAAGCTTGCTTTGAGCGCTTCTAGTTCATGGGAATCTGGCGTTTCTCCCAAAGTGTCTTCTTCTGGGCTAGTAGGCTTTGCTGTTATCGTTGATAGCTGAAGCGTGGAGTTGTCCGTCGAGTCTAATATCAGCGAGGCATTACTGCTGTTCTGTGTTACCTGGAGCTTCACTTCCGGCTGGTTTTCAATCCTCTCTGTGTTCTCATCTTTGGAGCTAGTGGCATTTTCATCATCCACAGTTTCGACCTCATTGTCGGCCTCGAATACCTTCTCCACCTCATCCAAGCCCTCTTTCAAGTCACCACCCGCCTTTAATCCAACACCAAGCATCACAGCTTTTTTTCCTAGTTCCCTTACGACTCCTATCTCATCACTACTCAACTCCCCTCTTACCGGTAGCCTAGCTAACAATGCCCAGATCCACATACTGACCTTCAAATTGATATCAGAGCCACTTTGCAACAACGTGCCAGTCAATAGGAGCCTCAGTAGTCTCAGAACTGTGTCCTTATTCATACTTGCTATCTGCACAGGCAGCGGGTCAACCGTCTTCATTTTCCATCTCCACCACCTGCAAAGTTTGGTGTTCAATACATTTAAATATGTGGGATGATCTGCATCTAGATTTTTCACTAGGTCTGTTGGGGGAACTCGGTGCAGTTTGTCTCGTAGAGTTTCAAATCGCGTCAAGATAGAGTTGAAATACGCCGATCGAGGATCTTGGCCTTCGTGTTCCTCATCCTCCAGTTCGTCTTCAACTTCGGCCGCTGCATAATAAGCACCATCCTCATAATATCCTCTGAAATCGCCCACGCCACTCTCATATATCGATCGATCGTACTCGCCGTTGTTGTTGGAGCTCGCAGTCTCTGCAGGGGCGTAAAATATGGGTGGGAGGTCTTCTGCTTCGGCTCTGGAGTTGCAATTAGTAATAATTCCAACAAAATGTAATATATAATTCAACACCATATCATCTTCGTATGTGCAAACACTGAAATGGACAAGGAGTGTACCCACCTAACTGATCTCAGATAGTTCAAGGCATCTATGCCGTCCTCGTCTAAGCTAAGAGAATCATCATCTGCTGGTAACGCACTTCGCTGCCCATAGATTGGATCTACGCGCGCTTCTATCACGGAATTCGATTTCTTGTTTGAGTAGAGGTAAGAGCCTGGAGGTGAAGGTGAACGAGCGCGCTTCGTACCAGTCATGATTCCAGCAGTTGTCTCCCTCAATTCCGTTTCGCAAATACGCGCCTAACCCAGATTTCTTCAATCGTTCTTTCAAACTCTCGAGGGACTTTTCAATCTCCAGATCGTGAGGTTTCTCTGTTTCCGAAATATGCACGTGAACAAATAATACTTCTCTTGCGAATTCGACGCTCAATATTTTTCATTCCTATATCATTATGAAGATAAATTATGGTTGGAGCAACACCAGTGCGTAGCAAAATTATTGAGCCTCAGGGTCCAAGCTTTTTAGACGGCTCGAGGACGGCCAGGATTTTGCCGTCTCGAGTGCAACATACAGATAAACTTGGTTATACCGGACTGAAATTTTCGACCAATTAAATCCGGTATATCCATGATTGCGGTATAAAAATTGATGGTCCAAGCTTCCTAGCCAAAATTTATATCCGATTTCAGCTCCAAAACCTTATCTCATCCTCAGACCACACGGTGATTACATAATTTTTGGCCTTGATTTCGAGGCAGGGGCCTCGAAGCTTTATCACCGTAGGAGATAAACGTTCCCCCGATCCCTGATTGGCCGAATTTTTTTGATTATTAGTAAGCACAACACCACCACCAAAAAGATCAATATAGATATTATTCAGAATTCGATAAAAAAACGTTCTATCGACGAAGAGGGTCTGAATATTGAGATAACCAAAACCCGATATTTTCGAAAAAATATCATGTGATTATAGCCAATCAAGCTTACTCATCCAAAATACAGCTTATTCAGCCAGGTTTACTACCAAAATTTATACCGGTTTTGATCGAAATTCCGGTATTCACATACAAATTTCAGAAAATTTACTAAAAAAGTCCGGTATATCCAAGATTCCGGTATATACCAGTCCGGTATAGCCAAGTTTTTCTGTATCCCAAAGGTAAGCGTGGTACACCAGTGAGCGCATGGATTGATGGGACACTTTCCAATTGTTTGATATCTGAATTCACATTTTGATCGTTCCATCTTTAATCAATAATTGTAGTGATTCCTAATACAAATGATTTGATATATCGAAAACTTTCGTAACGTCTGCTATTACAGACATTAGTACAGCTAGCTTCGCTTCTTAAAAATATTTTCAATGTCTTTTACTTTCTTAAGACACCTGCAACAGGTACTGATTACTTGCATTCGAGAAGGTCCCTTTCCCAAATACAACCATGAGATTGAGATGTGAGTCCATAGGGTTGGTGTTGTAAATTCGAGTTTAATATCAGATGACGTTATTGTCGTCAAAGTACCGTCAAGCGACGAGGCTGACTAATCCCTCCGAAATAAAGCCTCACATGCTGTGGCGAGGCTATCTTCATATCGGGAGCCCCAAGATACCATCATCTACATTACGAATTCTTTTTTTGCTTCCATTACAATGACTTCTCTCTGCTTCATTGATCAATTGGCAAATTCTTTCTTTGAGCCGTGAACATTCTCAGATCGAAAATAGCGCTGCATGATTGAAACGCCGGACAACTGAGGAACCATTGAAGCATTTTCGACGTCGAACACTACATGATGGCTCTCGACGCACAGAGTAATTGGAATGTGGAGATGTCGCAGCCTATTAAGTTATCCATTAGATCACAAAATTCAGAGCCTATGCCGGCTTCTGAATCAATGGCAGAGCTTTATCGCAAAGCTCCCGCGCAAGAGATCCTCCTCCCGATGGAGATCATTTCTCAGATCCTCTCGTATATTCCCAATCGTGTGGACACCCAATACACTTTCTACTCCTGCGCACTGGTATCTAGGCTCTGGTATTCGGCATCTATCTCTACTCTATATGAACGACCGTATCTTAGTGGCGCAAACTTCAATAGCTTTGTTGCCACTGTTTGCCCCTCTAAAAATGCACATATACGGCAATCCGCGCTTGCACCTCTGGTCCGCCGGCTTGATATGGGAGGATTGGTGCACAATAGTTCTAGGAGCTTGACTGCACGACTACTAGGCCGATTAAAGGGGAATCTCGTTGAATTTGTGGCACCACAAGCATCTTTCGCTATCAATTCCTTCCCCGCTCTCAGCAAATGTACCCATCTCCGATACCTGGATCTCTCCTTGATCTCCGCTTCGATATCGACCCGCTTACTATTCCAGACTCTGAAGACACTGCAAGAACTCGAAACATTACTTTTCCCGCGGACTTCCAACAGTGACCAAGACAGAATTGATGAAGTATATGAGTGGCCACCGAAGCTACAAGGTCTCCATTTAGCAGGGGGAGTCGATGACCACTTCCTTCGAACTCATCTTCGCCATGTCCCATCAACACTTTCACGTTTCAGTATTCAACACTGCAGTATGGTATATGGCCCTGCACTTCTGGAGACTTTGGAGCACCTAGGACCTCAACTGCAACACCTAACAATCCGACACCCGATGAATCGTATGGGTGTTGGGGCCTTGGACTACGTGCTTTTGATGTGCTCCTCCTTAACTGCTTTTCGAATATCTGCCGATTTCATTACAGATGCATTGTTTGAGAATATACCCGTCGGCCATCCCTTGCGAATATTGGACTTAGATTGTAGCGGCACAGCAGGCACAGAGGTTGATATTACTGCAGGGGCAGTTTATGATGCCGTGGAAGAAGGAAGATTGCCATTTTTGAGAAGCGTAAGGGTTAGCTCTAGGTTGGCTTGGAATGCAACGCAGAGTGGAAGACAGGATATAATAGATTGTAAGTCCCCATTTACTTTTACTTTGTGACTTCATGTAGAGGCCAACACTAATACGCCTTGCAGTGGTGGAAACAATGGAGGATCTCGAAAATGAGACTCCACTTGGAATAGAGCCAATAGGTGTCTGGTTTTCAACGGATTGATGAGCTAGGTGGTGATTTTCATCGGCCCATATTCGAAGTTGGTACAGGCAGTCAAGCATCACAATAAGTTATTTCGTAGCACCTAGGACACGATGCGCAATATCTAAAACCATTTTAGCAAGTTGCTTACAAAAGGTTTTGGATCGTAGCATTTTATCGAATACTCCCTGTGTATCTCCTGGATACCTTGTATCATAAGTGTGTCACAAAATGTTAAACCATGTTTGACTGAGGTATGTCGCTTACAACAAATGTGGTATATGATTCCCCTTGAAAGTTCTCTTGACCTCCTCCTTATTTGGATGATATGATTGAAACTAATGTTTACCCGAGGAACAAATAGCCAGTATTACTACCCTCCTGAATTTGGGGTGCATGCTACAATTCAGAGAATATATGTATGGCATTTTGCACTTGGACGCCACGCTCAAGTGATGTTCAAATACTATGATGGCGAGCGATGGCAATATTTGGGGGGACTTGGGGTATTCACAGAGTTTTCACAAGGTATAGTCTAGCGAGATGGCTATTGAGACAAAACACGAGCTATAATCCGCAAAGCTATATTCTGAAAAACTATTGTCTGGTCATCTATCTTGTCAATTCATTTCCCTCATAATCCTTTTTAGCCTTTCAAACTCATCCACATCAATATTCATTCACAAATAGAACATCCCGCGTATTATTCCCAAACTTTCGTGTGATGACCTCCCGTCTCGTTACAGGAGCCAAATAAAATCATGATACATTCATATCAACCCAGAACATCGAATGCATCAGTATCCCACAAGTTTCTTCTTCGCGGCGCGCAATATGGCTACACTCTGGTCCCAAACATTATCTGGTCCAGGAGCTTCTGTGTACTCTGTATCTGCGACACGTTCAAGCTCGACTTCCCACATTCGCTTCTGGCAGGCCTCGAGAATCCTGTTTCAGCGTTAGCACAATTGCATTTAGTCAATTCGAGATGAATTTGCAAACGTACTCCCTCTCGAGAGCTTCTTCTCTGACTCCTAAGACGAAATATGGGTCCTCGACGTACACCTCTTCAGTGTCTTGTCCCTTTGAAGGCACGTTTGAAAGTGGTTGTTGAAGAGCGACAACACTATGGATAAAGCCACCCTTCTCGACTTCTTGTAGGGGTGCATCTGCCAACACCGCACCAAATGGGACTTGAGAAGTCGAAAATGAGCTGAGGTTGGTTGTATTCGAAGAATCCAAGATCCCGATGCTCTGCTGCATGTTCTGCTCTGGTAGTTGCTTTCGGCTGACAGACAAGCATTGATTATGTAGATATGAAGACAGGGAATTATTGAAATCTGTGCCTGCAGTTTTACTTCGGGAGTTGGCAGCCCTATTTACACCGAAAACTGGAGATCGTCCTCGAGGTCTGATTGGTGTGCGTGGCGGTGATTGTCTTTGTTGTCGCAATGGGCTTCTAGATCGACCACGTATTTGACGAACTGGGGAGACCTGTCTCTGAGACCTGAACCGTCTTTCCATTGGTGGCGGCGATTTTTGACGGATTGGTGAACGAGATCTACCCCGCTTTACTTGCTCTCGCCCAGGGGATCTGTTTAAATCAATGAGTCGGTCTTAGCGATTCATGATAGTTACTCACCTGGATCTACGGCGAGTCATTCTCTCTGCCAAAGGTCTGCCTCTTAATTCTTCGCGTCGGAAATGGTGCTCTACACAACCTTTGTAGATACAATAATCATCGATGTAAATATTGCAGCTTGGGGAAGCCTTCAATGCGTTAAGAACTTTTGTCCTAGAAAGAAGCAATGTCAACGACATTCTCAGATGATGAATTTAATCGTCGAATGTGTACTCACCGAAGCGCAACATCAGTGCCCAAGCCATGATAATCACACCATTGACGAGTTCCTGGTAGTGCTTGATCGCGAGGCCATCTTGTGCGACGACGTGGACAATAGCGCTCTATGTGGTTGTAATCATTACAACGCCAGCATTGTCTTGGAGCATCACGACAGTATCCGTAATGGAAACGGCGACAATTTTGACAGGGCGCTGGAACCTGAAATTGAAAATTGAACATCTTATCTTTTGATTGAGGATCTTCAGACGAATCTTCGAAGTTGTGCAGATCGGAACGTTGAAAGGTGCTCACGGAGAGTGAAAAGGGAATTATACTCGTATTTGACAGCAGTGAGACTGATCATTTCCGGATGAGCAGATCGTCGTTTACTATTGTTAAATTCAATGACCTGAAGAAATATAGAAGCTATCGACTACTTGTGTAGTTACCAAAGTTAAAGAGTACTAGGTATACTCTACCAAGCAGGCAAAGTGAAATATCTCAATGACAGGGTAAAGTAGGGAAG